ACAACAACCACCCCCACCACCACCACCACCACAACAACAACAACAATAACAACGTAGCCCCCTTACTCACCATTGAAGGAGACGTTGAGCAAATATTCCCTCAAAAGCTTCTCGCCGTCAATCTTCGCCATCAGCGGGCACAGGCCAGCCACCCCAGGGCATATGTCCTTATGCATCTTGTCCAGCGCATAGGCGAAGGCGTAGACGGCGTCGTAAATAAACTGGACCTTACTCTCTTGAGAAGTGATCTTCCTATTCACCTTCTCGTTCCCCCTACAGGGTTTCACCGAGGACCGAGTGGCCGTCTCTATAGAAGTGGGCACCACGCCGTTCCACGCGCACTTATGCTCCTCCTCCCAATACTCCACGAACCAAGGGTTCCTCCTGTTGGAGCGCGGGTTCAGGTTTAAGTAGTACTTCTCGAAATTCTTTATGGGCGTGGACCGAAGTTCTAAAGTTATCGCGCCTTGAGCGACGAGAGCGTTGTTCTTGACTGGCGCGAGAGCACTTCCCCAGGCGTCGCTGGCCACCCACACGAACTTTCCGGTCAGATTCTGCCGCGTGGCGGCGTTCAGAAGTCCCGTGGCGTCCTCGTGACGCAAGAAAACGATGACCACTTTGGCCTCCGGTTTGTCCAGAAGCCCCTTTATGACGTCATCGTACGTTGCGTTGGTCGCGGACAGGCTGATCTCGATGTCTGCCGCGATGCAGATGTTCTTCGCTTTGGCTTCCCGAGAGAAGAACTCGATGCCCGACTCCCCGTACTCCCCCTCCGAGTGGACCACAGACACGTACGTCCAGTTAAACTCCTGGACGATGTCTGCCAACGCTTTGGCCTGTAGGGTGTCAGGCGGGACGGTCCGGACGAAGTAGTCGTAGCGCGTCTTGTCGCTAAGCGACGCGGAAGTGGACGCGTAGCTGATCTGCGGAATTTTGAACAGGCGTAGGAGGTTGGCCACCTGCATGGAGACCGTGCTGTAGGAGCCGCCCACAACCCCGGCCACCGCTGTAGGGGAGTGTCTCGCGATGGCCTTTGACCCGTCCATACAGACGAACTCTGTGGGGTCGAGTGACGTAATGGACGCGCGGATAAACTCGAGAGACTGCTCCAGAGCGTAGGGCGCTCGACCGCATGTGTCGAAGATGGAGGCGCCGAGTTTGATCCCCCTGAGTATGTCTGATCGGTTGTTGATCTCGTCGATGGTGAAGAGCATCGACTCCAGCCTCTCCACGCCCCTGTCCAGGTTGATGGGCCCGCACGACTTCTCTCCCTTCTGGTGCACCGGAAACAGGCCTCCGATGATGATGTCACCGTCCACCATGGCGGCCAAGGAAGGGCTGCTGGCGTTGCTGTTGGCCGCGTCCGGCAGGGGCCGGAAGAACGAGTTGGCTCTGACGTCATATGCCAGGTGGAACATCACGGACAGGTACAGGGTGATTTGATGGGGGAACACCACGTGACCTGCCATGGTGATTAGGTTGGATCTTTTCTGATGACACACTGTGGTTAGAACGCTATAGAGATTTCCTAAATCAGCGTTACGGGGGAGCTGTTAGATCTGTGAGATTTTCACAGAGCTCTAGAGGAACCATCAGACAGACTCACCACAATCGTAATTGTTATCTTTTTCAATTCATCTTTCAGGCTTTGATCCTGCTTTGATGACGAGTCTCTAACCATTTCAAAAATCAAATTTACCGGCTGTTCTAGATGTATATAGATAGACCTATTGACCAAAAACACACACAAACTAAAGGCTCGTTCTACCCTTCTTCGACTTTCAAGTTCGTGACATGAACACTGAATCGTGGTGCAGATCCTAAATGAAACAAAATCGAACACTGAAACAGAACGTGTCTTTCGAGTATTGTTATCACTAATTACGGACAGGACTTCTTTTTAGAGAAAACGAATACAAATCATATATTGAACTTCATGAAAATGCTTATAAATCACGGAATAGACTTCATTTAAAGAAAAAGCTTCCAGAAGATAATCTGATGACCTATCGTGTGGTAGAGCAGAACGTTTTTCAAATAATAAACAAAGTGGCTTATGCTCGCCGTAAAAACTCCACAAAATCTAAAAACTAAAAGTGGCTTATTGCACACATTTCTGCACACCACAGTTGTTCGTAAAAATACCACCAGAAAATGCGCCGGTTCAGCCTGGAGTGCACTGTTGAACAGTTTGGTAGTTTATGTGTCATATTACTGAGATATGAAAGTTTCGCATCTTTACGTGCGCGTCTCTCCGTGTGATGTCACACAGTCACTTGACCTTTTTAAAGCCCAGGGCTGATAAGTTTCGGGGTCTCTTTCTGCTGGTAGATGAAGTGATGGTTAAAGTTGTGGGGAATCCTATATTATTCTGAAACGACAAGGAAGAAAGGGTGTTAGCATTCTGTAACACGAGCATACTCACACACACACACACACACACACACACACACACACACACACACACACACAC